TCTGAGGCCGGACGACTCAGCACAGCAGCGGGAGAAGGCGCAGCACCTGCCAAGGGCCCATGAAGGGGGGCTCGTGTGCGAGTCCTGTGAGACCCCGCCTCTTCCGGGTGGGCCAACACGCATGACAGGAAGTGGCCCCGCCTAACTTCCTCTGAAGGGCGCTGCGGGGGGCGAGGCCTTTTCTGACCGCTGCTGTCCAGGCTGAGCAGAGGGAGGAGCCCCACGTCTTGTCAGTGTCAAGGTGCGAGTTGTCCTGAGTGGATGGCGGGGACACTTCCCCGACAACTGTAACCCCACTTCCCCTGAAAAGAGGCGGCCTCACAGGCCTTGCCCCACCCCGGCCCTGCTCTCTGCCCTGGAGGCGCCAAAATGGCGTTTAGGCCTAAAGTGCCCTCACTCCCCCTGTACCTTCCCACCCCTGGGGTGTCGGGATCTCAGGGAATAAAGGCAAGAGCCTGAGGGGGCTGGGCTCTGGCTCAGCCCCTGCCCACAGAGAAATCCCAGGCCCCCTAGAGGGAAAGCGGGGACGACCCTGGTGAGTAAGGAGGGCACCCCACAACCCAGAAAAGGTACTTTAGAGGGAAAGAGGAGACCCTGGTGAGGAAAGAGTCTACCCCAAACCCCAGAACAGGTCCTCTAGAGGGGAAGACGAAACCCTGGTGAGTAAGGAGGCAACCCACACCTCAAAACGGGCCCTCTAGAGGGAAAGAGCGGACCCTGGTCAGTAAGGAGGGCACCCCACACCCCAGGACGGGTCCTCTAGAGGGAAAGAGGAGACCCTGGTCAGTGAAGAGCACACCAAACACCTCAGAATGGGTCCTCTAGAGGGAAAGAGGAGATGCTGGTGAGTAAGAAGGGCACTCCACACCTCAGAACGGGTCTTCTACAGGCAAAGAGGAGACCGTGATGAGTAAGGAGGGCACCCCACAATCCAGAACGGGTCCTCTAAAGGGAAAGAGGAGACCCTGGTGAGGAAAGAGGGCACCCCACAATCCAGAATGGGTTCTCTAAAGGGAAAGAGGAGACTCTGGTGAGGAAAGAGGGCACTCCAAATCCCAAAACAGGTCCTCTAGAGGGAAACACAAAACCCTGGTCAGTAAGGAGGGCACCCCACACCCCAGAACAGGTCCTCTAGAGGGAAAGAGGAGACCCTCATCAGTAAGGAGAGCAACCCACACCCCAGAACGGGTCCTCTAGAGGGAAAGAAGGGACCCTGGTCAGTAAGGAGGGCACGCCACACCTCAGAATGGGTCTTCTACAGGCAAAGAGGAGACCCTGACGAGTAAGGAGGGCACCCCACAACCCAGAAAAGGTACTTTAGAGGGAAAAAGGAGACCCTGGTGAGGAAAGAGTGCAC